AAGGAGAGGGACGGGGAAGGCCTAGATGTATGACTGAAGAAACTCAGTTGCTAAGGTCAGACAAGAAGCAAAAGCAAAAGGTGACAGAAAGAGGGTCAGAATCCTGAATGCAACCTCTCAGCAACTATCACATGGAGACAAAAAGAAACATTACAATGGCCAGTGCAAAGAAACAGAAGAGAGCAACAAAAAAAAAGGGGGGGGGAGTAATGATCCAAGAAATCAAAGGGGAAATCAAACCTCATTTAGGAATGCTGAAAACCCCACAGCAGAACATACTATCTGATGAGGATAAAGTAAAGAGAAGGTAGAACCAACATATGGAAGAACTGTACAGAAGAGATAAAAGGATGACATACTCCTTCAAAGAGGATTCCTATGAGGAAGAACCTGAAGTAAAGTAAAAGCTGCTTTGAAAATACTTGGAAGGAATAAAATACTCAGAGTAAACTGCAGAGACTGAATCAGTCCAAATCCTAACAAAAACATGTCAACAAATATGAAAAACAAAACAATAGCTCACAGACTGGAAATGCTCAATATACATTCCAGCCCCCAAGAAAGTCGATTTAAGGAGTGCAGCAACCCAAGGACTATTGCATTAATTTCCCATGCAAGCAAACTAATGCTCAAGGGCTTGCAACAAAGGATTTTATTCCTATATGCAGTGAGAAATGCCTGGCTTTCAAGTTGGATTCCATTAAGGAAGAGGTACTGCTGATCATAGCACAAATACACATTGGCTACCAAAGAATTTCAGAAGATCAGTCTATGCCAAAGCTGTTTGGCTGTGTGGATCATGAGGAGCTAGATGGTCCTTAAAGAAATGGAGGTACTTCAGCAGTTGATTGTACTGGTGAGCAACATGTTTTGTGGACAAGAAGCTACGGTGAGGACAGAACATGGAGCAACAGAGTGGTTTCCTAAAAGCAAAGGCATCAGACAAGGGTGTGTTTTATCTATCAGAGCTTTACTGTCATTGATGAAGAAACTGAAATTGGGAAAGGTTTTCCATACATTGGTTCAATCATCATTTGAGTCTGCAGCCAAGAAATTACAAGACTGAGACTTGGAATGGCTGCAATGAAGGAACTTGAAAAGATTATCAAGTGTAAGGATCCTTCGATGGAGCATAGACCAAGTTCATCCTCTCTATTCATCCAAGTTCATCCAATCACCATGTTCTGAAAACTGGACGAGGAAGAAAGCTGACAGAAAGAAAATTAATGTTTTTGAAACATGGTGCTGAAGGAGAACTTAGTGAATAGCCTGGACTGATGGAAAGGGGGTCTTAGATCAGATCAAACCAAATTAGAATGGATCCAAAACTTTCCCTGGAAACGAAAATGATGAAACAAGGGCTGTCCTACTTCAGGCACATCATGAGAAGGCAAGACTCACCGGAGAAGACAGTAATGCTAGGGAAAGTCAAAGGCAGAAGAAGAGGAAGATTCACTGTGAGATGAGTGGATTATATAAAGGAAGCCACAGCCTTGAGTTTACAAGAGCTGAGCAGGGCTGTCAAGGACAGAACATTCTGGAAGGCAGTCACTCATAGAGTCACCATAGGTCAGAGATGAATTGATGGCATGTAACAAGAAAAACAAATGGGGAACATAATATGAATATAGCTGGTATTCATGATATGAAAATGTAACGAACCTGCCTGCATCGATCCAAAGGATTGATCTAGTCTGGTATCTTGTTTCCCACAGACAATGGTCAACCCAGCTATAGAGGACAGGTAAAAAGTAGATCAGGATAAAGTAAAGAGAAGGAGGAAGCAATATATGAACGATCTATGCAGAAGAGATGAAAGGATGACAGAATCTTTCAAAGAGGACTCAGGAAGAAAAGTTTCTGACTCCTGACAGGTGAATACTAACAAAACTGATCAGCTATGCTCATTGCTTGTATCTCAGCCTCACTGTTTCTTGCCTGTAAAGCAGAACGATTAATTGCTTGCTTTTAATCAGAGGTGTTCATGCATTTCTGCTGACCAGTTTTACAGATTTATGTTAAGACCCCTGATCTGCAGTCATGCCAATGTAGATGATTGTACTTGCTTATGAAGGTCATCCTAGTCCAGGATAAGCAAGCTGTTGCCTTCCAGATGTAGTGCACTACAGTTCCCATAATCCCTTTCCATGTTGTCTGGGCCTTTAGGTGTTGTAGTCCAAAGCAAGTTAAGGATATCAGACTGCCCACGCCTGGAAGCCACAGTCAGTAGCTGGCTTTTCCCCTGAGCCACCATTTTGTACTTGGCTCATTGACCCCCAGCTTCTAACTGGTTCCAACTGGTGCTCTTGTGCAAAAAATCTCTCACAATGTAGATCACACAAGCAGTGCATGAGGTCAGTTCCACGCTTGTTCCCCAGTAACTGGCATTCAGAGGTCTTCTGTCTCTGATCCTAGACACAGTGGCATAACCATCATGTGCAATAGCCATTAATTGGTGCCCATCACTACTTCATGTGGCAATAGTGAAGACCTATGCAGCATTCTTTATCTCCCACCATTCAGCCTCATGGAGTGACCCAGTTGAACGGGGGGGAGGGGGCGCACAGGCACGTGCTTTTTCCATCCATGTTTTCCACATCACACACAATATGTAGAGAACTGGAGCCTGTTAAAACTCTCAGATTAATTGACTGATACTGTAGTATATGTAATATATATATCTCTTGAAAACATTTTTTCCATTTAATTACAAGGTTGTTGTTGAATTATTCTGTATAAACCCTGACTGACACAGGTTATTACATTACTTTTTGCATATAATTAACTAAGTAAAATGGGAAGAATTAGGATGCTGCAAGACTTACAATATATTTCTGGGCATATTTACTAAGCTCAAGTGAGTTCAGTTTGATTGCCTTCCATGTAAGAAGACACAGGATTGCACAGTCCTAGAGGATTTACATGGGACTGACACTGCAACCCTGTGCGTGGCTATTAGGAAGCAAGTCCCATGCAGGCCAGTGCTTCTAGGAAAGTGTGCATAACCTTGCAGCAGAAGTCTCACAGGATTTCGTTCCATTAAAAATGTACAAACATTTTTCAAAATCACTTGGCAACGATACATATATATTCTTATGAATCCTTGGCTTCCACCCTTGCCGTGCAATGGATTGGCTACAATGGCTTCATTGAATGCCTGTGCAAAACCAGACTGAGCTTTGTATTTTACGAGCATGTACTCAAGCAAGCAGGGAAGCCTGAGGCTTATCATCAATCGAATAGCATTTACTCAGTGAGTCAATGGGAGTGACCTGCAAGCAACCGTGAATGAAATTGGGGGGGGGGGGGGAGAGGAGCTTTTCTGCCATTTGCTGCTGGCTCCCTGTGGACAAAGCCTCGCCATTGCCCAAGCTCCTGCCTTATGCTCCTCTCAAGGACATCTTGATACACCTAAGACAGTCTATTGCTTACTCAGCAGTGCGTGTGAGTCTCCTCCCGAGGCGCTTCCCTTTATCATCACGGCATCCAAGGGCAATTCGGGGAAGCATCACGGAGGAGGATTAGCACAGCCCAGGCAGCGTGCTCTGCATCGTGCAACCTTCCACAGGCAAAACCAACAGAGCTCAGTCTGGCTGCCGGGAAGATGGTGCCTCTTTTTTCAGGTCCAGCGGAACTGGGTGGGAAATGCACATTTTTTGTGCGAGCCAAGATCGTAGCTGCTCTTCACTACTGATGGTCTGTTTCAGTAGGGGAAAAAAGCAAGCCCCTGCGGTCCCTTGCATTTGCGGTATGAGCCTGTGTAAGCAAGAGATCGCATCAGTGACGCCGCTCCTGCTTCAGTCTGTCCTAGGTAGCTTCTCCTCCAAAAGCCTGTTTTCTTTTCGCTGCCAGTGTTCAGCAAGCCAGGCCCTGGCACCGTTATAAAAGCAAAGTGCTTTGCTCCGAGTGCTTTCCCTCGCTCGAGACACTTCGCCTCTTGAATATGAAGCTTCAAGAAGCTTGTAAGAGCTGAGAGCTGGACTTGCAGACAGGCTGCTGAACCTGAACGACTGCTGCTTGTCCTGATCTCATTGCGTCAGATGCTCTTCCCAATGAAATCAAACGTACATGCTTCCAAGGAAGAATAAAAGGAACGAGGCGCACATTTTCAGGATCGGGGCTTGAAACCTGCTCGCATACATTTGTACATGGCTCTAGAGCACTAGGAATACGCTGTATTGAAATCTGGGGGCGTCCTTCAAAGTAAACGCACACAAGACTGGGTCGCTAACCCTACGGAATCCCGAAAGCGAGGGATCCGGTACCATGCCAAAGCAGTTACCTTCTGCTTTAGTGCTCCAAAGCATTCGCGAGCAGCTCCCTTAGGTACCCTTCAGAGACGGCTACCGGAACGGGGCTGCGGATGATTCGGCTATAATCGAGGCGGAGTCACGGGGAGGGTTGCTCTGTGAATTTTAGCTTCCTTACCTCCCCCGCTCCATAATTTCAACATGGAAATGTGCCTAGCAATAGAACGGCACCCCCACCCCCCCGCCGCTGGGTTATCGACAACTGTCTGCCCGGAGTTCTTAAAGGGGCTTTGGCTGCACAGGAGAGGTCTCTTTTGATTTAAGATCTTGTGCAAGAAGGACATCATGCGAGCCCCTCCTCCTCTATCGCTCCGCTGCCTTTACGAATTGTGCAAATGCGGAGAGGGAGTGGGGCAACCTTGCCAGAATCCCTGCAGGAGAACTGGGGATCCAGGCCTGCCCCGCGTGGAAGCGCCGGCTGCCAGCCCAAGGAACATCTGGAAGACGCCGCGGCGCCCCCCCCCCCCCGCGACGGAAAGCGCGTGCACGCGGCGGGGCTCGAAACAGCCCGCACTCGCGCGCTGCGCAGAATGGCACTGAATGAGAGGGGGGGATCATGTGACCCGCCGCCGCGCCGGTCGTGCACGTGCCTCCTGGCTGCGGGGAAGGCTGGGGGGGGCGGGGGAGAGAAGGGAGGAGATCCTTCGGTGGGGTCACGTGACCTCCCCGGCTCCGTCCCCGTCGTCGTCCCCCTGCAGCTGCGGAGACAGGCAAGCGCAGCCGGCTGGGAGGACTTGTCGCGCCTGCCGCAGCGGCGCCGGAGGGAGAGGGGAAGGGAGAGGCTAGCGGAGCAGCAGCCGCCCGCCGGCCTCGGGGTCGAGATGCGCTCGGTGGCCGCTGCGCGCCCTGCTTCTCGGGAGGCGCTCTGAGCCGCAGCGGGGCCAGCATGTGGAGGGGGTAAGTGGTCCGCAGCGGCTTCCCCGCCGGGACGGCGAGCGGGGGCGGCACCTCCGTGTCCTTTGTCCTGCCTTGTTTTCCTCCGTGGCCGCGGGTGCTGGCACTGGCGGAGGCCCGTGGCTTGCTTCGGCGGCGCCGAGGAGGCTGCAGCCAGGGCAGGGTCCAGCGGAGCTCTCGCGTCCCGCCCTCTGCCCGCCTGCCCGCCCGCCTGCCTGTTGTGCCCGGGAGCCCGCGGGTTGGCGCGGTGGCGCCTTCGCTGTCCTCCTCCTCCTCCCTCCCCCGCTTCAGCCACAAACTTTCTCCAGGACCCGCGTGATGTGCTGGCCAGAAATGGGGGGGGGGGGTGAGGGAGGGAGGAGGAGGCGAACACCGCTGGATAAGGTGGGTGAGATGAGGTGCTGTGTTGGGGTATCATTAGCACGAGGGTATTATGAATTCTCTCCCCAGAAGCCTGATTCTTTAGGCTAAATATTAGAAGTAGGTAGATAGTTTTAAAAAATGCATTGGCTTTTCAGTAATCCTGTAATCTAGTTTATTGTTCACCCCATTTTACAGATGAGAACTATTGTGGTTGAAAGGCGACTTGACTATCCAAGCCGAATTCTTGGCTGACCTAGAACTGGAGTAGGACTGTCTGTGGCCACTGAGGACAGGGCAGGGGAAATGGGTTTAAACTGCGGAAGGCACACGTGGGGTTGGCATGAGGGGGGAGCTTCTAATAGAAGCAAAGGCAATCCTTCCCCAGCCTGGGGATCTCCAGATCGGTTGGATGACATTGCTAGCCAGAAGTGCATTGAGCAGTGTTGACTGGGGTGATGAGAGCTGTAGTCCAGTGCATCTGGAAGATATTGGTCTGAGGGAGGCTATGGAGACCTCCTCTTGGAAGATGTGGGTGGGTAGAGAGGATGCCAGGATCTGCCTCATGCTGGGAAACTATTCACCAGCTTGCCCGCAAACTCTGGCTTTCAGGGGCAAAAGAGTTGTTATAGTTAAATGGCTGTCGGGTCACAGGGCTGCAGTTCTGCGGTTATTTATATGGCAGCAACTGACAGGGAGCATATGAAGTTTTTCAGCAGAGTGTAAGTGAAAGAAAGGACAGGTCCCAGCCTCAAGGAGCTTGCAGTCTAAATCCCACTCGTGGAGAGAGAGAAAGAAGGGGAAAGGAAGCAAGAAGGAAAACTAGCAGTACCTTTATTTTGCAATCAACCAAAGTGTACAAGATTGTGAACAAGTGTTAGTCCTGATAAAGGTATTGCCCTATAGCAGAATGTGGACTTCTCTCCATGAGCCAACTGTGCCTTTTCAGTGTTGCAGAATGATGGATGTGAACAATGCAGTGACCTGTGCTTGGGCTTCGACTTAGTTGTGGATGAGACACAACTCATTCTCTGCTTCTCAGTTATGGGAACCTCCCCCAAAGGGTGGACAGGGATATTTTGGAGAGCTGCAAGGTCCACATCCTGCCTTGATTAGGAATCCCAGCTGAGCTTGAGCTGGAGGCTCACAGCAAAGATTCTGCTAAGAATTTTCTCTTTTTAAAGTGTGTGTGTGTTTCTTGAAGAGGAGAAAACCACAGGGGGACAGACTGGGGTTAGAAGTAGCACTGGCAAAGTTGGAGCCAGCTAGGCTACCAGATCTGCAGGACCCTTCATAGCCTAGTAGTTGAAGCCTTTCCTCCAGAACTGGTCAGCAGGTGGTCCCTTGGCCTAATTACTTGCCATTATCACCTTAGTTTTGAACCCCACCCCTGCAAATTATAGGCTCAGCCCTCTGTCAAGTGCAATCCCACCTGACAGCCCACCGGGAAAGGGGGAAGAGAGCGAAAGGGGTAGGGCAGGGCAGGGAGGAGGGAATGGCAGAAAAATTGAAGATTTTCTGCTCCCTTTTGCCTCTGGCCTGGTCTACTGCTTGCTTCTGCCCCTTTCCCCACTGGCATGGATACCTCAACAAATTATGCCAAAGGGAATACAGCTCTTCACAGAACGCCCCATCTTTGCTCTGTGGCAGCTGTCCTCAACATCATGCCCTCTAGATCTGCTGGACCATCAGTCTGGCCGCCCAGCCTTGCTGACATGCCAGCCAAGGTTCAGAAACTTGTTTCTGGTTGGGCCAGATTGCCTGTGGGCCATGGTTTCTGCAGCCCTGGATGACAACTCTGGTCATACAGTCAGACAGGTTGGTCAGACTGATAGGAATTGCAGTCTTGAGTACCTTTGGGATTAACCAGGTTGGGGAAGACCTGCACTTGACAGCTCTCAGAAGAAGGTGCTGGAAATTGGGTTTGAGTGAAGGAAATGGTTCTATTTTGATCCCACATTGAAGAAAGCCTTGGGTAGATGCTGTACTGCAGGGCTCTCAACTTACCTGGGGGCCGCTGGAAGTAGAGTCTGGGTGAGGCTGGGCCGCATCAAGCATTCCACCACCCACCGCGGTGGGGGTGGGCCGCTCATCCCGCGTCAGTCGCTCCCGGAGGCCGGCCCAGGCGCCGCCGGCGCTTCGAAGGCCGCAGGGCCCCTCCCTCCCTCCCCCGTGCCCCGCCCGGCCCGGCCATTGGCCCGCGGGCTGCGAGTTTGAGACCCCCGCTGTACTGATTTTTGTTCAAGGTTGTTTTCACACATTTCAGTCAACCCGTCAGCAAATCCTTCATTGGTGAGGGTGTACCTCTGATTATTCTTACACCTTTTATGGAAAATGGACAAGATTCATTTCATATGTGGCACAACCAGTACATCTGACAAGTTAATGGCAAATTGGTTCACTAGCCAGAGAACCTCAACGATTGGGTGATATAGAAATTAAATAAATAAAGGCACAATCCTACACATGTTTAGAAAGAAAACGTTTCTCTTTAAGCATGCATAGGATCACACAATGAATGACACTTTTAAAGCATCCCTGTGTACAAATGGCCTTTGTCTGGAGCGTGCTGGGATTTTACGTAGCAGTGCTCTTGAAGGCTGTGTTCAAGAATAGCTTGGAACAAGGGCTCCTTTGGCATGAGAGATGGACTGGGTCCTGTTCTCTGTAAGGGACAGAATTGTAGTCTGGGCCAAGACTCAGATGACAAGATTTAACTCTATGCTGGGTGGTGTTTCTCCTGGGAAGAAACAGCTTGGGCACCCTCATACCCTGATGCCCAGGATTGCAAAGGGAGGGTTAAAACCAGCCAGTCTGCTTCCAGGAAGGAAAGGGATGATTCTGCATTTCTTCCTCTTCACCGTGGAATCTGAGGGCCCTGCTTCTTTTCTATTCTTGTCCTTCCCCTGTCCTCCAAACAGGATAGAGGACAGCGGCCTGAGGTTTGCTGCAGAAAGATGAACACTAGGAGAGGGGCTTGTGCTTGGCATCTTCCCCACTGAAAAGCTTTGGGATTGACATGTGTGAGGTGCATCAAAGCCATGATATGGCCTTGGTTCAATTGTTGCCATGCCTGTGCAGTCACTTGAGCCCGTGTCTTGTGACAGCTGGATCCTGCGGGCTGTGCTGCCAAGGAATGGAGAAGCAATTTTGGGATTTCTGTGCAGAGGATCTAGTGTAAAGCAATGGCTGTGAAAAGTCCATCCATTTGGATAATTCAGTCTGTCTGGTGCGCATGGTTGATTTGCCCCAGGAGAAAAAACTGTTGAAAAGGATGGGGGCATTTAATAATCAGTTCATTTGAGACATGCTGCAGTCCGAGACATTTGGAAGAGGGTGCTGGGGAGCAGGAATATGATTACCTGGCGAAGCAAAGCAGAGTCACAGGACTCTCTCTGTACTGCTGCTGTTCCTGCACTAACAATTGCTGCTATTACTGAAATATCTTTCAGCATTCAGATGACTTTGACGGGTTTTTGCGTACTTGTATAAGGCAGTTGGTGATGGGGTTGAGCAGTTGCCTAGACAGTAACCAGTAAATGTAGGATGGAAAAGCCTTGCACATTGGTTGCGCCTGTTCCGGGATGCAAGGAGTGGCAGACAAGGAGTGGCAGACGCAAGCAGGGTTATCTCTTGCATCAACAAGGGGAATGCTATTGTGCCTGACTTCATGGTGTCGCAGCAGATTGTGGTGCTTGGGAAATTCTGCTGCAAGTGGCCCAAAGGAATTTCATGTAGGAAACAGCTCTGACAAATCACCTCTGCAAGAACGGGCAGAGTCCTCTGGTCTCTGGTAAAAGTGCAGATTCTGCACACGTTGCTTTCCCTGCCCGTTTCAGCAGAATATCTGAAGAAACTGGATTATGCACTCTGACCTCCTGGCTAGATTTGCAGACTGAGCTATAAATTTGGAAGGGACAGTCAAGGTCATCCAGTCGCATTATATGATCAGCAATGCAGGTTGCAACTACAGCATCCCTGAATGAAAGGTGCAACCAAACTAACAAAAGAAGCACCTGTAAGGTGGTAAGAAAGTGAGATCAAGTACTTTAATAAAAGGTGCTCTCTTTTATAGATTTAGGCAGCAGGTTGAAATCTCTCTTTCTAACTAAGCATTTAACTTTTTGTTTGTTGCTTATTAATTTTACTGTGGCTCCTCAATGTTTTGATACTTGTTTGAAATGTGTTGAAGGCACAGTCTTATGGGGATGCCCAAAACCCTCCAAATGTACCTCTGTGCCGCTGTCACTCTGCAAAGCTCTGAGACAGCCAATTCTGCAGGTCTGAGTGAACACTCTGGGAAGGAGGCTCCAGAGTCCCAAGGTGCATCTTATCTTGGCAGCACCTGCCTCCTCCCTTCCCCCTCCAGGAGCCCCTCTCCTTGTGTCCCCAGGGAGCACTTGGTGGCCTTCTTTCTGAGCCAGCCATGAGTGGGGAAGGGAGCGGTCCAAGTGTGGAAACCTGGCTACGAGGACAGAACACGTTTCTAACTTCAGCACTGAGAATCCCAAACCCTCATGCTTCCAAGTCAGCCATAGAATTGTGCTGTTAATGTTTAATCCCCTATTATATTGATACTTGTACTATTTACTGATGAACTAGTTTGTCCTGGTTAGACAAATCTAATAAATAAGTTTGGAATCGCCTGCATTTTAAGTTGTATTTTGTAGTTCTGGGTACATCTCCTGGCAAAGAAATGCTTCATTTTATCAAATTTATTTATCAAAACAAGGCCAGATTTCTTGTGTGGGGGAAGAAGCAGGAGGCAATCATCTTAGAATAGCAGTAGCAACTGCATGCAGTTGTGAATCCACTGCTTCCAGTTTGTGGCATGGGACCTTGCTTCAGTCAGCTGACCCAAATGAGGATCTGGGAGACAGGACAGGAATGGCACTGGACTGGGGAGAAGAATACGCTGAGAACATTGAACCCTGACATGGAAGAAAAGCTGTTCATGGCTTGGGACCCAATGCCAAGGTGTTGCAGTTGATAAGAAGCACAGTGCAAAGATGGGTTTGTTTCACGTGCCTTATGCTGGCAGAGTTCCTGCTTGGCATACAGTCCTTGGCACCTTCAGGGTCTGAAACCCTGGAAAGGCTTTGCCAATTAGAGTAGCAAATATTGATCAGAATGGACCCACAGCCTTCAGTGTGCGGGTAGACAACTTTGCAGTCCAAGGAGCGCTAGGAGTTGTAGGACCTTTTTCCTGTCTAAACAGGTATCAGATGGTGCCCCAAGTATCCTAACTATAAAGAAGATCAGAAAGATAAAAAAGAAATGAAGGGGAAGGGGCTTGAAAAAGAGGGCAGAGGGTAAAATTGACAGAAAGAGAAGAAAAAGAAAGAGGACCTGTTTTTGAAGGTACACGAACACTTCCAAAAGTTGTCAGGGCTGCTCCTGGTGTACCTACATGTTTTTCATGTACACAAGGTTCTTCTAAATGGGTTACAAAAAAGGCAGTTCTTAAAATCTTCAGGTTGCTGCCTGAAATGAAAACAAAATCCATAGTGCTTGTATTTTATTAGCACTTGTGGAAAATCTAAACATAAAAGAAGCTTGTTCAGGCAGTATTTTCAGACTTTCTGTGGCGTAGGCAGAAAGTAGCTTGTCAGATGTTTTGGGCTTCACCTCCAAACATTCTTGACCATTGGTCATGCTGGCAGGGGAGACTGGGAATTGAAGCCAAAAACATCTGGAGAGCTGCCTTTTACCCTTCTATGTTAATTTGTGTTTGATGAAACACTTTCTAACCAGAACCTCACCTCCTGCACATTTGCAGAGCAGCACCTGATTTCTGTTTGAGAGAATGGATGTATGATTGCAAGGATGCAGGGTGGAGGAGGCAGCAGAGGGTAAGCAGCAGTGCTTAAGTATTCCCAGATAATTGGCAGTGAAGAAGCCCGTGTGGGGATGGAGGGAAGGTTTTCTGATAGAGCCACCCTTTTCTACTTTTTGCTGTAGGAAGTGATTTAGAACTTCAGCTATTTTGCTCAGTTGGCAGTTCTTTGCAGGAAACTGTTGCTGACTGAGGTTCTTTTCAACTAGGCTTGCAAAAGTGATGGTGTGGCTGTACTGGTTTCATTTCATGAACACTTCACTGCAGTTCTTGGTCTGTGCAGGGTCTGTGTCGAAGGTGAATCATATTCTCAAGTGCTTGGTTGCTTTTTCTGACTCACGTAGAAAGAGCCCTTCTTTTGAGTTTATTAGACATCCCACATTAGATGGGGGGCCGCTTATTGGCTATGATCAGAGCTGAGAAATAGGAATCTCCTCAGCAGGGAATCTGCCACATGGGATTCAGAGTTGAAATGTAATTCTTTTTGTACCCATCTTGCAGTCTGTGTGCGAGAAACAGAAACTCTGCAGAATGCGCCGAAGGGTCTTTGGACCACTTGAACCTGGAAAGCCAAGGTACAAATTCCAGCTGTGCCACAAACTACTTGGATGATCTTGCGTATGCCTTGTTGCGGACTCCGCTGCTCCATCCTGACACTGAAATAATAATTACCTAAACATGTTTCCAAATGAGGGAATTGTTTTTTTAAGTGTTGCATATGCTAACTCAGCGTGTCTGATTGCTGAAAGCCGCACGGGAGCCAACACATGCTGGTACATCTCAGCCAGACCAAGGGGAAGACAGGAGTTTTCCAGGATCACATGGCTTTGTTCAAAGCAAGGGACTGTGGCAGATACAATCAGCACTACTTGGCTTTCCCCTTCAGTTCCATATTTATTCTTAAATGCAACAGTGCCAAACTAGTTGCAGAGAAATCTTTCTGGATGAAATCTACCTTGTGGGGTATCCGAAAGAATGACTGTTGGGAGATAATTGATTGTGGTAGGTTTATTGTGAAATTACCTTTTAAAAAAGCCAGCCATCAACAGTTTATATTCCATATTGGATGCAGCAGCAGACAAGCAGCTATTAAAATGTACTCAATTTTAAGGACAAGCAATGCTTGTTTCTTATTCTCCTTGATGAGCATACATTAAGTGGGTCACCATAAGCATGTTTGTCAGTTCTGTGGCTGTCCTTGTGTTCTTTGTCTTCTGGCCCCTTCATCATTTCTTCTTCCGGGTTGCCATGTCATTCTGGAAATGTGACGTACAGTGAATTTCATGCTGCTAATTCATAACTCAGGCAGTGTCAGGGCTTTCCCTGCATTTCTCAGGACTTTATCTGAGCAAGGGAGAAATATGATTTGGATCTAGAAAAGCACCAGTGGAAAGTGACTCTCTTGCCCCCTCTTTTCTCCTACTCCCACCTACAACTTTCCCAAGAATGGAATAACACTTCTGAATGGGGCAGGCTCTAGGGCTGAAGGGACATAGGGGATTGCTGAAAGTTGGTAGTGGTACCTGACCTGAACAACTCTGCATTTTTAGTACTCCAGTCTTCTCCCTCAGCCTTTGCTCCATGCCACAGCCTACCCCATTCAGGAAAGGCTTTGGGGGAGTGGGAGGAGGCAGCTGGGGGGGGGGGCGGATAGCGGGGCTGGAGTGTCTCCTTAATTATTTGCAGCATTTATCTACCACTCCACATCCAAACAGTGGTGAATAGTATGAGTTTGAGCAAAGAAAGACCCCAATTAGAACCACAGATTTTTTAAAAATGTAAAAATAAATTAAGGCAGTGTCTGCTTAGCAAGAAACATCTTCCCGAAATGAGATTTTCTTTAGTGGCACCAAAAACAGCACAATGTCAGCACATGCTTGACCTTCCAAGGCAAGGATCTCCGTGGAAATGGGGCCTCCACGCTGAAGGCTCTTCTGGTGGATTCCCGTCAGGCTGTGGGTCCTTGTGGAACCACCAGGAGAATGTCCTCTGATGACCACCCTGGTAGGTTGGTAGGGGAGAAAGTGTTCCCTCAGGCATCCTAGTCCCAAACATTGTGATTGCCACAACCTGGCCTGGTAGCAAAGCAATAGCCAGTGAGGTTCTTTCAGCAGAGGATTTGCGCACTGAAAAGGGCAGCTCCAGACAGCAGCCAAGCTTCTACCCTCTGCACCAAATGCTGACTCCCAGAGCAGCTTTAAGGGAAGCCCTTCATGGAATGCACTGCAGCAGTCTAGCAGTTGTGCTGCTGCAGCCAGGACAGGCTGTAGCTGGTGAACCAGGTGGTGATGGTCAAAGGGACCCCAAACCACTGCATTCACTTGGAGCCCCAGCGAAAGCAATGGATCTTGATTACAAACCACAGACCATCACAGGGTCCAGACACTAAACTAGGACATGCACAACCATGCCTGGTTCAGCATACTGGGGCCCTTGGTTCCAGATCCTCTAATGGCCACTCCAAGCAGCTTCCCGTTCCCTGGTTAATTTTCCCACGAAGGGAACGGGTAACCTATTGCTTTTCAGTCTCTGATACAATCATGTCCCCTCTTCCCCTCAGAGCTATGATAGGGTCAGCTTGGATATAATCATTCTAAAATTTATAATAAAATGATCCTGTTCATTTTGGATATTTTAGGGTTCACTTGGCATACTCATTATCCCATAAAATCTTATATCCCAACAAAAAGCCCTTTGCTATATCCATGTTTGTTTTTAATATCCTAATTGTTGATTAGGACTAAATATATAAGACTGACTTCCATTGATTAATCTGCTGTATTTGCTTCCATAAAACTGAAATGGAATTAACTGGTCCTACACTATTCTTTCCCCCACTCCCCCATGTGCACCCCCCATTGTTAAACTGTAAAAATACATTATATTGGCACCCTTAATATCTTCTGGTTCAGATCTGTATAAAGACTTCATTTATCAGCATGCTAACTGGGTGGCTGGGATCGCTTATGTTCCTTTATACTTTTCCAATTTACTTCTGGTCTTTTCTGTCCATTGGTATTTATCATTCTCTAGCATCCTTTTAGCACCCTTATGGTATATAACAGTAATATATAACAGTTCCTTTGAATCAACCCACTACATATTTCAGTCTCTGTAAATTTGTTGTCATAACTTTTCATGCACTCATGTCATAAATGGATAAACATACAATTTAGGATCTTGACAGTGCTATGAAACCAAAGAACCATTACTTTCCTCACCTAGGAGATGGTGAGGGTTTTCGATCTAGGACAGGGGTTGATAACCCGCGGCTCCGGAGCCGCACATGGCTCTTGAACCCCTCTGCTGTGGCTCCACCGCTCAAAACACGTGCCGGCACAGCCGCTGATCTGCTCGAAGCTCCACGCTAGTTAAGTAAATCAGCTAGTTAAGTAAGTCGCTACATTCCTCTGCTAAACAAGCTTCCTGCAGGCTCTCATGTTACATGAAACTCTGCTGAAAGGATTCTCTTTGTCCCAAAGTAATCTCCTTCATCTAAATATTAAAAGCTGCGCTTGGGACCTGTCACAATTCACAGCACTTGACTGTTTATCTGCTAATCAGTCACTAAACACACCTATATCTCCCCTATATCTCTGCGCAGCCACCAATCTGTGGATCTGCACCGATTTACTGAGCTCCCCCCCCCCCACACCCCTAGGCCAACCATGGATAAATCGAAGAAAAGAAAAGTTTCTGAAGAAAACCGAACGTGTAATGATACGAGGGTAGATTCATTTGCTTTTACTGCTCACCAGCTTATGGGGTTTGCAGTTTAATGCATGCAGCCCTTTAGCACTGACTTTGACTCTTCAGGAAGCTGTTCTCCTATTCAAAATATATGAAAGGAGTCCTACTAGTTTATAATGTAAGATTAAAAATAACAGTTTTTAGCGACTGAACAAGAGCTGCAGCTAAATCATAATGAAGGTATACATAGCATTAAGGTAAAAAACGATATATGCAGTGCTATCTTCATTTTAGATGTCAAAAGGGTTTTGCGGCTCCCGGAGTTTTCTTTTGTGTGGGAAAAGGGTCCAAATGGCTCTTTGAGTGTTAAAGGTTGCCGACTCCTGGCCTAGTACATCACTAAGCTGGCATTACAACACTGCAAGGGGAGGTCACCTTTTCTCCCTTGTGGGCCACTTGCCCGGAAAGGAATTTCTGAGAGGCTGCCATCCGTTAGGATGAGCCTCCTGACACATGCTAGCCTGCCCAGCTGCCTTAGATGCTTCTGAGCCCTCCCTTCTGCCCAGGCCTAAGAAGAAGGAAAGGTACTTCGAACTTTTCTTCCCAAAGCCCGGAAACAGGAAGTTTACCAAACACCTTTAAAACATCTTGAAAAACGAACATAGTTTTGTAATCATATAGTCCTGCATGTGGCAAACAGTTAATCCATTTTAGAACAATACAGCCACATGTTCAAATATAAAAAGGAATTCAATTAAGGGAAAAAGAGAAATGGAATGTGGGGTGGGGGAGAAACAGAAGGCAACAATCATGGGCATACACAGTAATTCAGATACTCCAGAAGAACTGATTGATTTTGGGAGCGCTCAGTTCTGTGAACACCGCCCCCTTTGAATAAAGTGATAGTTGGTTTGGCCAATGATAACCTCCATTTCCAATGTCAGTGACCTAGCAAGCAAGTCAGAAAATTACATAATGGTTGGACTCAAGTCTTAACAAGTCTAACTTATGGCTCAGAAGCACAACATGGTTGGAACTTATCGGCCTATTCAAGGAAAGGGAGTAAGGGTTTGCATGCATTTTGGACAAATCAGTGAAACAAGGCTAGGTAAAACTTAGATACCAACTGATGAGATTCTGTAGGGGGTATTGTTCCTCTCTCTTGGAAATAAGTATGTGTCACAGTTGGTAAATCCATATCTGCTCTTCCACTTGAGACTGCAGGTTGAAGTTAGGAGGATAACATAAGCAAATGCCACTTCATACAAAATAGTTCTCTGCATGTAGAAAATTAGATGTCCAGTAAAAAATTAAGCTAGAACCTTTTCCCGTGACATATGGTTTTTTGCATGTAGGAAACTTGAGTTCCCACCTGCATTATGAGGTAGCACAACCCAGGTTCATTCCTCCACTGAGAATGAATTAGGCTTTTGCAACACCAAATCAGGTGCCCCAGTTCTCCTGAAACATGAACAGATTGTGTTTAGCTGAATATCTCCTTTGTGCCTAACCTAAAGCATCCTTTCCTAATATGTGACTTCTATCTGTGTTGTGATTTGTCATACTAGTTTCATTCTTCTGGCAGACGTGCGCATTCATTTCTTGGCTGTTCTCCCTTTCCTCTTGTTTTCCTTTGGAGTGCAGTTTTCAACAGTTCCTATTTAATTTTCAGAGACTTAGTAATGGGCTTGTTGGCAATGCGTAGTTCCCCCTGCCACTGCCTTTTTCTCCTTCTCTCCTTCATTCTTCATATGCGTGTCTGCTTTTAAAGATGGCTCAGTAGAAGCTGACTTCAAAATAGAAGACTTTGAAGGCAATGATATCCGACACAGGTTGGAGCAGGGAGCAAGGATAGGGACCTCTGATGATGCCTGGGGGGCTGGAT